AGGGATATGAAGGGACTGAAGGGACGACATTCTTCACTGCAAACAGCGCCACGGACCTGGCAAATTGACGTATACACAGGTTTCCGTCGTCAGGCATCAGCCCGAATTCTCCTAAATTCTGTGCCTGCAAGTGAAACAATGACGCAGCATGCACGTTACAGTTTCATCTTAATGGAGAAGTTACTGCAGAACATTTTTATGTTTATTCAGATGAAATCTCATTAACCGTAAAACGGAAAAGTTCGTAACGTTAAAAATATCTTTGAAGTGCATCAGAGGAAATCGCTGTGAACTCTAATGCACAATGGCATTAGGGCCACCTATTGGCAACACTGAATGTACGCTCCGAGATTACGGACGCCAAGTTATAATGAGTTCATAATGAAGCTTAGGGAAAGAATAATATGCAAAGAATTCTTACTGTGATGAATGCAGCTGCGAAGAATTTTTTTAATGATTCATTAAAGAAGCGCAAGACACTTTCCGGTGACCTCAGTTATTAAAATTTAATTGAGTTTCCTTCATTCCTTCTCAAGAACGGCATTTCCCAGAAGCTCCAGGGAGATGTCGGGACTGCAATTTAAACGAACGGTTGTGCGCGTCCACCCAAATTCGTAATTTCATCCACTTATAATTTCTGCACAGCCGATCATAGTGGCCGCTCGCTCGAACGCTGGGATCGTGGGTTCGAATCCTACTCGAGGTATGGATGTCTGTGTGCGTTTGTTCTGTGTTTGTGTTGTCCTGTGTGTAGGCAGCAGCCTTCAAGGAGTCCTACCGACTGTGTATGGGATTAAGAAACTGAAAACGTGGCCAAAATCCAACGAAGCGCTGTAGAGCCATGGACAGACAGATAGCGAACCCGGGCCGTCACGATGGAGACAGAGAGACAGACAGATAGATAGATAGATAGATAGATAGATAGACAGACAGACAGATAGACAGATAATTTCTGCACGGTTCCTGCGTGAATATGTAATGAACTACAACTGCCAGGAGACAGGAGGCAATGCAGTTGCGTAACTCAAATTAATCTTACATCTTCAAGTCACTAGAAGACCGAGACCAGTCACTTTGCAAGCTGAGTAATGACTGGGGATGTGGTTTGGTTTTATGGCTTATCTGACCTTTGACAGAAAGCCATAATGACTTGGTAAAGGTAAACAATGCAGACGGAAGAAACCGTGGTCCCGTTTTAATTTAGAAGGAATTCTCAAGACAGTCGGTGTCCCGGCTGTCACTGGAATCGGGTCTTCCCGAATAAAAGCCAGAAGCTCCGCTGCCTGAGCTCGAAGTCAAGCTGTGCGTAGTGAAATCAGATTTATTCAGAACATGAATTATTTCAAACGGGTAGCCATACCGCTACTAACTCAGTTCCATGACTTTCCACTGGGGGATAATTATTTTTGCATACCACTTCTTCTTATATTTTATACAAAGTCCTTCTGCCTCCCCAATTTACTTCCCCCTGAGTGTCTTGTGACTGCTAAGAGACCACATAGGGTTCATACATAAAGTGGGTCTCTCTCTACCGCAGTTCCGTCGGGTAGTTCAGTATAGTGACTAGTCTACGGACTGGATGATCGGGGGACAGGTATTCGACTCCCAGCACGGGAAGAGATTTCCTCTTCATCGCCGCTTCTAGACTGTGTGGGCCACCCAGTCTATTTAATGGGTACAAGGAGTTTTTCCCAGGGTCAAAGCGTCTGGGGTGTGAACCTGATCGCTCACCTCCGTCTAGTGCCAGTGTTAAGCATGTGTGCAGCTACACCTCCATTGCCACGCACGCCCTGATGCCGCAGCACTGCAGGTGTTTCGTCGGTAGACAGCCACCTCGAGTTTATCAGCATGCGGCACTATGGCGGTATACATTGTGACGTCATATCCTTTTGTTTTTAGAATCTCAATTCAGACTTTCTTTCTTTCAGAACACAAACTTTTAGGCGTCAGTTGGGAGACTGAAGTGTGTAATGTTGAAGGCCAACCTTTCGGATCCCTTCGTCTCCATTATCAGTGAATGACATATCGGGTCAACACGGCTGCTTTCAACGAACCCCACTGTAGCGTGGGTGTGTTCTCTCTCTCACACAAAGGACATGGTTCGTTGAAAATACTGATACACGAATCCTATCTGTTACAGGTGTTATGTATGCTATCCACTCAGACATTCGAAATGTGAAATAACCTTTTAACACAATCACTAATTCACTGACACGAGCACTACAGAGAGTAGACAAACGGAAGAAGAACATTCAGTGTTGCTAACTTAATTTCTTTCAATGTAGCCAACACGAAGAAATTCTATCCCGCAATTTCTTAATGTTTCCATTATTCTGTCCACTCCCTGTATGTACAAACGCACACGCACAGAGGCTGACACTGCATTTCCGCTGTTCGGCGCCGTAATCGTGTTTGGGCTACATAAGAAAGATAGCGGGGGGTGTTACATGTCCCGTTGTTGCTTAACCTACCCAGGAGCGTCTGAGTGACTGACCCAGTTTTTTTATATTCCTTGGGATTGGATGGGACTGAGTCCACTTGTTACGTCTGCCACTAACTGGCCTATTGTACCAGATCCGGATCACAGATGATGAGCGTGGAGCAGTCGGTGGATTGAGAGTTGGCAGGGGCAACCGAAGTGCTCGGAGAAAAACTGCCCCAGTACCACTCTGCCCATCACAAATCCCACATGACCTGAACTGGGCTCGAAGCCGGCGACTAACGGCCTGAGCTATGGCTCGCGGTGTTACGTATTCATGATGCTACACTCCTGCTCTGTAGCATGTCTTGTGAAGCAGCGTTGCTTCCGGTCAGCACGAAGCGATCGCGTCTATTCAAACAGTTCTGCAGACCGCACGCAATGGTCTCTCTCTCTCTCTTCAGGCGGGCTATGCGTTTGTGGCCTGCGGTAGATGCCAGGCACGTTTCTTCACCCTTCACGTTCTCACACTCCTGCTCTTCTGGGCCGGACCGAGTACCGTACTCCTGTGACCGAACGTGTGCGCCATGTCTGGTCAACTGTCCTGCTATCAAGTTCCTTACAGATGTAATTACGGCATAATGATCAGAATAATGAAATAGTGACCTGATTTATCAGTCCAGTATATCAAACGCGCATTCTACCTAGTCTTCTTTTCCTTGCACATTGCTTCCGGTGCACATAGAGTATGCGATTGAACCTGGAATCTATCCGCTTGCTCTGATAATCCGACTGTCTCCAACAGAAGCTGCAGTAGTGGACGACGGACCGCCAGGCGGCAGTGGTAGAGGTACCTATGTTTCAACCGGCATTGCAGTCCCTGCATCAGCCGAATATAAATATAGGTCCTTATATTTCAATCAGTATTGCAGTAACGATCTTTGCCGAAAACGAATTTCATCTGATAGCGTACAGGTCTACATCAGCCGTAACTGTGACCTCACTAGCACTAGCAATAGTGGATGAGATGAAAGGTATGGTCCATTTTATGTGTGAGAGTGCTAGGAACAACGTGTGGTTGCACGTTACTGTGATACCCAGTTTCCAGCTGATGAAGTCTGCTGCATACAACAAAACTGCCGAAAGCAGTTAGAAACCAACAGCATGTGGAATGCTAACAAGTTTAATGATGGTCTTTCCACACAGTTTCGAGTTACTGAGTTCAAGCATTTTATGAACTTCATTTTTGCAGTTTCCTGTTACAATTTGAACGCACTTTACACTAGTATGAATTATAAATTGCGTTCTTACGGAGCAATTAATTGCTTTTGTTTTTTCTGTGAAGGCTTCCTGATTGTGAAAGAGCAGCCCAAAGCTTAGTACACTCGACTGACGTCGTCGGTCAGCTGACATCTCGAAGCTGATTAGTGATTACTTAACAAACAAATGTGTGGATATGCATTCCTCAACACACGCTTATCCTATTGAAATAACATGCACCTTCGGCCAACTCTTCGGAAGTCGAATTTCGATATTAGTGTACAGTCATCAGGATTTCACCCCCTTATCAGCAATTTATCTGGTAAAAGCCTAAAAATCCACCGAATCTGTAGTATTTATTTCTATCCTGTGTCAATGAAAACACGTGACCGCGTGACCGCGTGTTGGCAGGATCTGCGCATGCTCAGAATTCACACAAGTAACCGCCTGTTGCTCGCACCGCTTACGGAGTGGTCAGAAACCTATACTGCAATTCCACCGAGCCCCTACTTCTGTGAGAAGACTGTAGGGCGGCAATGCGAGTAAATATGCACAACGCAGACTTCGATGCAGCTTCGCGGATTCTGGCTGAAACACCTCCTGTTCCATGTCTTTTTACGAAATAAACGACATGTTTCGACCACACGGGGGTCATCGTCAGGTATATATGATACACGTAAATTGTTACACTGTGTTCAGTACGTCTTATGTATGTGATTTTTTTTAATTAAAGAGATTATGTTGTTGAAACGTTATTAAAACGATACAAACTCGTGGTGACGTGTGCCGTGGCAATCCTCTACTGTTCAGTTCCTGTAAGGGTGTCTATCTTGCGCGTTTAGGTCGTCTGTGTGTGTGTGCGTGTGTGGACTGTACCCACAATGAAGACGATGATAATTAATAAGAGAATGATAGTCCCTTTTGATCTCAGTTTGCGGGAAACCTTCCAATTCACCACCGTTTCCTTGCACATTTCCGATTTACAAATGGGTAATTTCCTGAGAACATTGGAGACGCGGATGAAGTTATAAGCATTTTGTCTGTTATGGACAGTTCGATTCCTGCTCACTTAGAATGCAAATGTCATGAAGGGAACGCTTTCCAATGTAGCCAACATATCGCCGAAATTTCGGCATAGCACTGCGGATATTTTGTTCGGTCTGAATTTCGGCTGGTAACACACGGTGGATCTGCAGAAAGATATTTCTGTAAGATAGAGAACCGCTCCATTAATTCGTCTGGTCTGAGACGTTATGCAAAATGCATATAAAAACTAAGTGAAAACAGAATAATAATCAAAAGGATAGTCCAGTACACTCACATGTACTCGTAGTTGTGTCCGTCCTCGGTGCTTGGAGGCAGGGATTTCTCGAATCTCTGGAAAATCTGAAACCAAAACGTTCAGAATATGATGCAGATATTAACGGCGTGGTTTCGGGTTGAATTCGGAGCCTCTAGAACGCTACTGGCCGTTCGAATGCAGTGAACAACATCCGTGCTATGTTCTCCGTAGATACCACAAACTGTGAAGTACGTATATTTATGGGGGCACCACACATACAACATGTTTCGGCTCACTGAGTCATCATCAAGTATCTGACTTGTTCACTTTTACCTATATGCGTCTGCCAGTATTCCCTACATTGGCCAGTGTTTAAACGACGAAGGTTGTGTCCACATCTCCTATTGTTGTGACGGAATAAAATAAAGGAATCTCATACACACAATATGACGCTATGCTAATGGTGATTTCACTGCCGCAAACCACATATAGACCTTTAAGGGTCACTGCGAAAACTGAAAGGGCTAAGACATTCCTGTCCCAACCACCGACACACGCACATCCAGGTTAGCAGAATGCAACAGATTAGTGACATGCTTATTCCGAGCTAATCTGATGATGATGATTCAACTGAAATGGTTATACAGCGTTCAATAATCCGGGAATCTGGTCTTTAATTGTACGTACGTATGCGAAGAAGAATGAATGGACGAACGACCGAGCGACAGCTCGAGTGCGGAACATACACATCTCTACGGCTGTTTGGCCTTTATCTAAATACGTTATAAGTAAAAGTAAATATGACTCTGTGCTTAACTAAGCAACATACCACCAGGGCAATGGGAAAGCAGAGAGAGGCATATCTCAACGCATTCATAACGTGGACACAACGCTGAGGTCAAATGGTCAGCTTCATGACCGCCGGGAAAGCAGGCCCAAGCCATCCGCCGATCAGAAGGCAGTTTGTCTCGACGCGGTGGAAAAAAGAAGTTCCCGCACTACCGGGTATCGAATCCCGATCGTGCAGCCCGTCTCAGTAAGCATTCTGTCACAGACTTACATTTACACAGTTTTCGTGTAACTCAGCTACAGTTTGTGCACCGAAGTTTATACTCAGCCACGGCGCACAGACGTGAGTGACCTGTACGGTCCGGTACGGAGTGACAGCCGACGTAGAAGATTCAACTCGGTAATCCCGAACAGCTGTAGTGGACACTTCCGGTCTAACTTGTTTCGTGGCTTGATAAACGCAGGAAGTGCTATGTCCTCAGCTGTAAGTGCCGCCGGTCGGTGTACTCGTAAAGTGTGTGAAAGTTCTTACGAACACAGGAAGATGATCGGAGATAAGGCGCGGTTAAAGTTGACGCCCTTGCTTGATGCAATACCAATTCAGACGCAGCTGTCTTCTCTCAAGCGTCAGGTAGGTCTGGGTGCAGAAAGAGTGTGCAAGAGTGGTGCAGCTTATCCACCCGACTGCGCCATGTTTAATGCCCAAGTCGAGAGCTTGAATTTGGGTACAGCGATGTTATGCGAAGTGATACAGTTGTGGTAGGCATTCTGATGCTAGGAGGACTGCCTCTCCTCCATAAGGACGGCGCCCTACCATCGGCTCGTACTGTTCGGTTCCAGTGACAGATGCCAACACAATGATCGTATAGAAACTGAGAAATTTCTCTGAACCGCCTTAGGGCGCTATTAGCGTTTTGAAACACAAATCTTAGTGCTCGAATACTCGGCAATTTACCGATTGTAGTCTGAGATGAGATGCCTCATCAGGGCATCAATAATGATCATAATCTTAGACGTCGAGCGGGCTCAGTGGAGTCTGCTCGTCATTGTGAACAGAAAATTGGCCGGATTAGACGTGGGTGATTGCGGGAGAAGTAATATGATTTCTTTAGGATCAGCTTTGTTCGTCTCAATTTGGGTTGTAACTGGCAGCTTTGCTGTGGGCTAGCAGTCGCCCCATGAGAACAATTTCGCGAGTGCTGATTGCTCTGGTTATGTTGCTGCATGTGTTGTTTGGAATTTGTTGCGATGAAAAAACAAAGGCCATTTCCGCCACATGAAGTTGCATTTTGTGCCTGCAATGTACAGAAAGTGGAAACAAATTCTATTAGAAAATAATTCTTTCTTCGTTATACTCAGTTGTAATCATATTTTAAAAGACTTGAGGTTTTCACGGCGGTGACTATGAAGAAAGCAGTCTTCTGGGATGTGGCACTGTGTAGATGTAGTGTTAACCGACGTTTCGGAGGAACGTATCGGCAACATCAGTCTGCTTGTACCGGTTCTCACGGTCTCTTCGCTTGCGGATTTCTTATTCTTCCTTCTACCCTGAAGACGGAGGCGATACGTTCCTCCGAAACGTCGGTTAACACCACATCTACACGGTGTCACATCCCACAAGACTGCTTTCTTCATATTTTAAAAGGATCGGTCTGTATAAACCGTACTTCGTCTAACTATAAATTATGATTATGTTACAATCTTATTGCCTGGAGAAATGCCACGACAGACATCCCTCATCTGCCACAAAATAATCAGCAAACATATTCCTAGTATCAGTGGCTGATACCTCTCCAAGTAATCATTGTCCATGGCGTGCATTCCACAGACCACACACCGACAACCTGTCTTCAAAACTACATGACGATTCTGAATTACTGTCGGTGTTTCTGTGGCCTTTAAACAGAAATCCCGACAATATTTTAGAATCGTCCTGTACGAGTATATCCATCTCTGTCGCGAACAGAATTATGAGGGATCAACTCGCCTTCACATTATACAGGAACACTGAGTGGGCGATGAAAGTGTCTGCATTTATTGCTTAAAATGTTAACAGCGCATTCAACATAATTTATTGCTCTGCTTAGATGGTAATTTATTTAGCACCCGCTTCTTGAAAGCGAGATGATGCCTTCCAAAAGGGGGAGTATCCTGTCACTTGATACAGATGCCCCATATCCTAAAGTCAAGCAGGATACATTCAGACTTTCAGAGCTCTTCGACGGCTTTGGATATGAACCTTGTCAAGCTCTCCTATAATGCGGAGCCGGTACAGCGACTGGCTACGGGCTGGACGACCGAGTCCCGGTGGGGTCAAGAATTTTCACTTCTCCGTGTCATCCAGACCGGCTCTGGGGCCCACCCAACCTCCTATTAAAGGGAAACAGGCGGCCCTTTCACCGGGGATAAAGTGACTGGGGCGTGAAGCTGACCATTCATCTAAACCTAATGCCGAGGTCAAGAAAATGTGGATCTATACACCAACTCCCCATACGCATTCATGGCGTAGTGTTTAATTAGTTAAGCACAGGAACAACTTTACCTTAATGATTTTCAACTCCACAGTGTCTACAGAATTAAATCATAATTGGGATCAGCTACTGCTAGCAGGACAATTGCAAAGCAGTCTCTGCACCTGAAACACGTCTAGCCACTTTTACCCCGCAGCAACGGAACGCCTTTTGTGCAAATCTGCTGCTACTGACTACCACTTCTCAATAGAAGGTTTAGGTACACATTCTTTGTGAAGAATACTCGAAACGTCGGTACAAACACGTCTTAGTATCTCGCATACTATCGATATGCCCTGTCCCTAGCTGTAAACCTGCACTCGCAACAAAAATATATGAAAATAACTGTAATTATCTATATCTCACAGACAGGTCGTAGTCAAAACACTGACCGATGTAAATGACAGTTTGATAAAATGTAACAAAAGAATCAATGATGAAAAAAGTTTAAATTAACATACCGTATGGAAACTGAATCTAGTTTGACACAAGAAGCTCCAGACCAGAGCAGGCAGAAAGCAAACAACCATCTCTCTTCCTTAAGAACAAGAACTCATACTGACCCTTCATGTTCTATGGGTAAAAACAGAGACAGAATACTAGGCTCAGTACAAGTGAGACTGCCAAAAACTCAGGAAAACCCTGTTGAAAAGACGCCTAATTGCAATTCCTTTTTAAATGTATTCTGCCTTCATTAAATTCCTTTAATGAAGTGTAGACATTGGAATTTCAAATGAGAGTTCTTAATTTAACAGAAGCGACAAAAAATCGAATTCCCATTACGCTAAATTCATTTGCTATTCCACCTCCGCGTCCCCTCCGCGTCGCAGTGTTGGAGCTGTAACACCCCCTAGCATTCACTTGTTTAGGGCCACCAACAAGCTACAATGTAAAAACGGCCAGTAGTCAGCATGCCACTGCACCAAGTCACGCAGCATGGCCGGCGCCATCACACGAGTACGCCTTCAATGGATGGATTTTGGATACGAGTTTTGCACACAGAACCGTTGCTAAGCAGCGACCGCGAAACAAACAACGAACAAAGTCCGCTTTACAAAATTCCACGAAAATACTGACATAAAAGATTCCTTGGATAGTTCAGATACACATAATAGTAACCCCCCCCCCCGATAATACAATAAACACCAAAACAAAGTTATGATCACTTCATGCTGACAGCATTTCTGCAGCTGATATAAAATTTGCATTCTTACTCTGTAAGCCACTATGAAGACGTTGATATAATTCCACGACGCTAGACAAAGGAATTCGAAAATAGTTTTAAAATGTTCACCGTAATATAAAGTCTCTAATGATCCGAGTTTTTCTGTGTGCAAAAGTGATGGATGCATCCAGTGGATTCTAGGTTTCCAATGTTTTCTGAGACGCGATAATACATACGTCTCTTCTGACGACCGAACATCGCGGCATTGGTAGGGACAATGCGGTGCTTATGGCAGAGGACCGCTGTCATGGCTATGGTGGTGTGTAAGAGGAGTTAGGCAACAAGCAGTAAACAAGTTTCGTCAACAATACAGGCCGTGTTTTCTATGTGGTCGTGGGCAGGCTATATAAGGAGGTTTATAGAATGACACCTGAAGTTCAAGGCAATTGAGAGACTAGTGCGGAGTGCATTGCAATTGTGACTTCTACACGGCTCAAGAGAAGATTGTAAGAGTAGCGAAGATAACGGACTGACAGAATCCAACAGCAGAGTCCCAGAGGCTACAAACGAAGAGTAGAATTGAAATGGGAATACTCTGATTTATGTGTTATTGTTCCAGTAATAATTTAGAGAGTTATAA